CTGACTTTACATTATGAGTTTTGATTTCATATAAGTTATTACATTATGCTGCACACAGTAAGGAACAATGTTTGGCTATACAAAGAAAACAAAAGATTTCGACAAAAAAGCACAACCTTATCAGGTTGCTCATAAATTGACCTGAAAATCACCTAAAACATGCACAATCCTCCTTTATCATGCAAAGAGTTTGAATTTGAGATAAAATGCAAAGTATCCATCCATCCATCCATCCATCCATCCATTTTCATCGGCTTAACCAGGGACAAGTCGTGGGAGCAGCAGACCAAGCAAAACACCCCATACATCCCTCTCCCCAGCAACAATTTCCAGCTCCCCCTGGGGGCCCCATAGGTGTCCCCAGGCCAGTTGAGATCCATAATCCCTCCAGCATCTTCTGGGTCTGCCTTGGGGCCTCCTACCAGTGGGATGTGCCCAGAACACCCCTAACGGGAGGCATCCTGATCAGATGCCCAAAACCACATCAACTGACCTCTTTCAATGCAAAGGAGCAGTGGCTCTATTCCGAGTTCCCTCTGGATGTCCGAGCTCCTTAACCTATCTAAAAGGATGAGCCAGGTCACCCCATGGAGGAAACTCATTTTGGCCCTCAGGTGAGGGTTGAGATATAGGTGGACCAGTAAATCGAAAGCTTTGCCTTCAAGCTCAGCTCCCTCATCACCATGACCAAAGAAGCCACACCAAACCACCAATCTATCTCACACTCCATTCTAATCTCACTCATGAACAAAACCCAGAGATACTTGAACTCCCTCGATTGAGACAGTAACTCACTCCCAACTCCCAAGGAGCAATCCACTGGTTTCTAAGAGAGAACCATGGCCTCAGATTTGAAGGTGCTGACTCTCATCCCGACAGCTTCATACTCGGCTGCAAACCACCCTAATGCATGCTGGAGGTCATGGTGTGATGAAGCCAACAGAACCACATCATCTGCAAAAAGCAGAGATGCAATTCTGTGGTCCCCAAACCATACCCCTTCCTCCTCCCAGCTGCACATCCTGATCCTGTCCATGAATATCACAAACAGGATCGGTGACAAGGGACAACACTGACGGAGGTCAACACCCACAGAGAATGTGTTTGACTTTATCCTGAGTATGTGGATGCAGCTCTCATTTTGGTCATACAGGGACCGGATGGCTCATAGCAGCAACTCTGGTTCCTCATAATCCCATAAGACTTCTCCAAGTTCACAATACACATGTAGGCCAGATGGGCAATCTCCCACAACCCCTACAGCAGCCTCGCAAGGGTCAAGAGCTGGTCCACTGTTCCACGGCCAGGACGGAATCTGTATTTCTCATCCTGAATCCAAGGTTCGGCAATTGGTCAGAGTCTCCTTTCCAGCACTCTGGAGTAAACTTTTCCCGGGAGGCTGAGCAGTGTGATAACCTGATAACTGGAGCACACCTTCTCACACTCTCTGGTCCTCTTTTTTGGAAATGGGGACCACCACCTTTGTCTACCACTCTGCAGGCACCACCCAACCTCCATGCGACACTGAAAAGGTGTTGTAGGAGCATACAGCTTTCCTAAACTCTCCAGATTCTGGACTACAAGTAAATAGACAATGAGAAGGCCACAAGCAAGGGTCAAATATTTATTACCCTGCCCCTGATTTTACTCCAGTCAGGAGGGATGTGTCCTCCAGACATCCGGGCACCAAAAGGGGGCAAAAAGGGTTCATTTGAGGTACTTCAAATGCTTTTTAAGTCATTAACTTGTAAAAGGGTTCCCCGTCCCGGGGCAATGCGCCTTGATTAACAGCCCTGCTAGGACCTTAAGACAATGCTTCTTTTCTCAACCACGTCTTGCCCCCTCCTGTCACCCTGGGGGATCACGCTCTCCCCTCTCTTACCAAATGTTTCTGTGTGACAAAATTGAAATGTCTGTTGAAGGTGAAATTATACATTTGTTTCCTTTTTGTTGGTTGCTTTCCTATGTTCTAAACTTGTACATGGGTATAATCCATGTTTTCTCTCTGAATGATACTTTGCTTTAACCCTGTAAAAAAAAAAGATTGATAAGTTGCAAAATTCAATTTCAATTTCAATTGTTAACCCCTCATCTAATATGGAGCCATACTGCCATCTTGTGGTGGAGTTAAGAAGAGTTCCCGTAAGGAAGTCCACATAGTTAGAATTAAGATATAATTGGGGTTTATTAATCAACTTGTTTTCATGAACGTGTGCTTCTTCATTTTGTTTTTCATTATATATTGCAACTGTAGGTTAGTCTAGAGTGTGTGTATTTGAAGTAGCCTAGTTTAGACGGTACTCCACTTATATACGTGGCATAATAATTGTATTTTGATTTAATGTTAATGTTAATTGGATGTTAAGAATCAATTTTGACCATAATGGGAAAAGTATTTGTCCATCGTGCATAACATATCAAAGTAGACTACCTCGTATAAGAAAAGCATTAAGTTTCCTCCAAAAAAACATAATGAGTAATAATGCTTTTATGTTTTGAGTATGCTCTTTCATTTTTAGTTTAGCTACTTGCTTTTGTGTATCTTATGTTTTAACCAGTTACGTTTGGTTCCTGCATAACTCTTTTGTGCTCACGATCAAAGTTATTTTAAACTTAAATTTTGCTTATCCAGTTTTCTTTTATCTCCAGTGTTTTAGACATTTTTACGCATTAATAATAACTTTGACAACAATATCGAACGGCCAACGATATTGTTTTCACCATTATTATAAGCGAGTAATCATAACGAAGTAGACCAGTGACTGCCAACCAACTTCTTCGCTCCATATTCATCAGAACCAGTGGCTGCCAGTGGCGCTTCGCCATTGATCCCCGCTGCTAAAAAGTAGGCAAAGAACTTCCACAACTTGAGTAAGCCACTGTGCAATGAAGAGTGAGGTCGAGCAGGAGGCTTAGTTAATTATCCTGATTTTAATTGAGGTTTCATTAGATGAATGGTTTTGCGCATCCTTGCGTTCCCAATTTATCGTAACATACTCTCTCACTATTGCCAGATTAAATAACTCACACGTTACCTCTCATTTCATTCCATTTATATACTGTTGATTTTGTGTTGTGTCATATAATTATCATTTGCTATTCATTTATTCAGTTGTTACATATTTAGCTAAATAAATCTTTATTTATCACCAAGTCGTTGTCTGTGTATATCTTTTGGACAGGGTCTGAGATCACTGTAAAGAGAATTCATAACCCAGATATTGAGATTGATTCATTATTGATAAGCGTGCTGACGAATTAATAATTGGTTTACGGAGCTATTAATTTGATTAGTCGCTTCCCTCATTAGGAAGGTGGTGCCCCAAAATTTTATTACAAGTGCAAACATTCTCTAAAAGGTATTTCCCCTACAGTGTGTCAGCCAAGACAGTCCAACAATGTCCAGAGTCCTTTAGCATCTCAGGGAGAATGCAAAATATCATCTGCATACAATGTGATTTGTTCCCAGGTTGATTTCCTGACTATCATGGTGTTTTCTAACTTCTGCAAGAGGCCCACTATTGGTGCAGAACACAAAAGTCTGAAGCAATTCATGAAATCCTGTAGGTTTCCGGTATCGTCAGCTAAGTACATTTTTACATTGAAACATTAATAATTAACGACATTAAGTTGAAAAAATTAATCGAGTCATTTTAATTGAGCCTATGATAATGCCATAGAGTTACACCCTACCATCACTACCAGAATTCCTGAAGTGTCGAAAGACCACCTTTCCTGTGACTAACATGGTTAAGTACACTATGATTCTTGATCTGCCTTAATGCATTACAAAAACAGATGTTAGTCTACCACACAAGTGTGGTAACTTGTATTGACAAAATTAAACTATGGGATGTGTAATACAGAGAGAATTAAAAAAAAAAAAAAAAAAATTGAGAAATCTTTCTCACCTGAGATAAAGGGTCTAAAACAATAGACTCGAGATCAGTGCTAGTCCTTTAAAATTGCTAGAAATTACAAAATGTATTTACATAATAAACAAAATGGGCTTTAGGTGTCAAAAAAAACAAAACAAGACATTAAAATTTGTTGGATAATTATGATGTTATAGATATGTAATATCCATGAATCATATTTGCTGAAACATTTTTAATATGGCATGGCATTTACATTATATTAACATAATTAAGCTGATATGTGTTATGCCCTCCCCCTGTCACCCTAGTGGATGATGTTAAAGAATAAACATTGACAGAAAGCCTGCAGTGGGGATTACATAGCGGTGTATATAAAATTAAGTAACCCTGTATAAAGACCAAAAACAGATGTGAAGGGAGGAGGGCAGTTATGGGGTTTTACCTTGACACATATTTCCTCATGTGTTTGTGTCTTACCTTGTTCTTTTTCTCTTCCTCCTCTTTATGCTCAGTGTCTTCCTCTCCTCCCTCATCTTGTGAATTACGTAGAACTTTTCATCTTAATGAAATGCACAAGCCTGGTGATGTGATTCTGGGTGGGCTGTTTGAGGTCCACTTCACCTCTGTCTTCCCTGAGCGAACATTCACCTCAGAGCCACAAGAGCCCAGCTGCAAAGGGTAAGTTACACAGACATGTAAGAGACAGTATAGATCTGTACAAGTGAAAATTTCTGCTCATAATAATAGTAAATGGTGATTAATATAACTTTTCAGCACAGTTTCAGTGATACTTTAGAATTTTCAAGACACAGCTGTAAAACAACAATTTATCACACCTGTATAATGTTATCAATATAGGTTTAGAGTTTAGTTTTCACAAAGCTGTATTACGTTTAATAAGTGGTTAATAGTGTCATTTTGTGTGTTAGCTTTGACACTCTAGGGTTCAGGCATGCCATGACCATGGCCTTTGCTATTCATGAGATCAACAACAACTCCAATCTGCTTCCAAATGTGACTCTGGGATATAGTCTTTATGATAACTGTGGTGCACTCGTTATTGGATTCAGTGGTGCTTTGTCACTGGCAAGTGGTCGAGAGGAACAGTTTCTGCTTAAAGAGAACTGTTTAGGAGCCCCTCCAGTCCTGGGGATTGTGGGTGATTCCTTCTCAACATCTTCTATTGCCATCTCCAATGTATTAGGTTTATACAGAATGCCCATTGTAAGTTTCATATTAGCATTTGTATTGTATTTTAATACATTGTATTTGAATTAATGTCACCTGTAAAATTCATACATTGTTGAAAGGGTCTGATTTGCATGAGAAGGTTTTGTTGAGATTTTATTTTTTTTTGCTTGTACAGGTGAGTTATTTTTCCACATGCTCCTGCCTGAGTGATCGGCAACAGTTTCCATCCTTTTTTAGAACAATCCCAAGTGATGCTTTCCAGGTGAAACATTATAACCAAGTTGAGAACTTAAGAACTTCATTGTGAAACATACGTAAACATACAGTATAATACATTAAGTCAGCTGTTAATTTTATTTTAGTCTGTGCACTAATCCCTATACACAATTATATCCACTCAGGTGCGTGCTATGATTCAGATTTTAAAACACTTCGGCTGGACTTGGGTTGGCCTTCTGGTCAGTGATGATGATTATGGACTCCATGTTGCCCGATCCTTTCAATCTGATCTTGCTCAGTCTGGTGGAGGTTGTCTGGCCTACTTAGAGGTTTTGCCCTGGGATGGTGATACGAGTGAACTCAGGAGGATTGTACATTTGATGAAGACATCAACGGCTCGTGTGGTCATGGTGTTTGGACATGAGTTTAACATGCTTCATCTAATGGAAGAGGTTGGAATTAAAATATCATTTAATGTTAAAATCCATTTTTTTTTTTAAATGTAACATGATGAAATATTTCCATGGTTCATTTGAAATTCACTGACTAATCCTGTTGTGTCAATTATTATCAGTTTACACTAACAACCAGGTCAAACTCTTTCATAACATTTAATAATGTTACATGTTTCTGTGTCAAAGAATCCAACTAGTGGAAGATTCAGCTCAGCTCAAAAAAAAAAAAAGCACCAGCTGTGGAAGGACCACTACCTAACCGTGAAATGAATTACTAAATTATTCAAATAATTAGATATAATGGCTTAGGTTACAAAGGGAAACTAGAATGGTAGTTTTTAACTTCAGTAATGCATTTTGAGAAAGCATAAACCACCCATTATGCATTAAAAAAGGGAAAAACTGTTTATTTAACTTGCTTTATAGATACTGTACCTTTTATTGATATTTGCAGACTCAATGTTAAAGTGGGCAATTAATGACTTTTGATCATCAAACGACAAATAAAGCCAGACAAAGGCATAGTGCATTTTTTTCAACAGAAGTCTGAACATATGTTTTATATAATGTGATACACAGGTGGCTAGGCAGAACGTGACAGGCCAGCAGTGGATAGCAAGTGAAGCCTGGACAGCATCTGCTGCGCTCCAGATGCCCCGCTTCATGACATACTTGAGTGGCACACTGGGTATTGCAATCCGTCGAGGAGACATACCTGGGCTCAGGGAATTCCTCTTGCAAATACGTCCTGACCAAAATGATGATATCTATGAAAATAAGATAGTGAGAGTTGATTCTCATGAATTCATTTAAAATTGATTCATCAATTGATAACATGTATCGTTATTTCTATAAATACTGTCTTTTTATCATCTTTAAGGTGAGACAGTTTTGGGAACACACTTTTCAGTGTAAATTTGATCCAGCAGCTGAAGCTGGGGGGGCACCATGCACTGGACAGGAAGATCTAGAGAATGTGGAGACTGAGATTTTAGATCTTTCTAACCTCAGGCCTGAGTACAATATTTACAAAGCTGTGTATGCTCTGGCCTATGCTCTTGATGATATGCTGCACTGTGTGCCTGGGAGAGGGCCTTTCAGTGGGCACAGCTGTGCTGCTTTGCAAACACTGGAGCCATGGCAGGTGGGATATCAGCTTACAATTCACCTCTTTATGTTTTGAGAACACCTGCTAAACTTTGAGGTACTTTCTGAATGTAATTTTGTGAGTAGGCTTATAAAACACGATGGAAAAAAAACACAATGTAAATCATGAGTTGGGTACAGTGACTATTATTGTCATATTTAATACAGACATATCAGGAAAAAACACGTTCTCATTTAGTTTTGTGACAGTAATGACTGATTAATGCTATTTAACAAAACAACAGCCTGAGTTTCAGGGTGTCTCAATCCTTAGACTAAATTAACAAAGTAAAAAATAATTGCATGGAGTCACTCCTTTTCAGTTTTTGTTTCATCTTTTTGCAGCTTGTACATTATTTGCAAAAGGTCAACTTCACCACAGCATTTGGTGATGAAGTGTCATTTGATGAGAATGGTGATGCTTTACCAATATATGATATCATGAACTGGCTGTGGCTCCCTGATGGACGAACTAAAGTTCAGAATGTTGGTGAGGTTAAGAGATTGGCCTTCAAGGGTGAAGAACTCACAATCAATGAAGACAAAATTTTCTGGAACTTTGAATCTAGAGAGGTTATTTCTGCTATTTTCAGACACCTCTCCATTCTGCAGGTAAATCTTGACAGTGTATCAAAATACAGATTGATAGATTCATTTTTCTCTTTGCAGCCACCCCGCTCAGTGTGCAGTGACAGCTGTCCTCCAGGTACTCGCATGGCCAGAAAGAAGGGGGAACCTGAGTGCTGTTTTGACTGCATCCCTTGTTCTGAGGGAAAAATCAGCAATATGACTGGTTGGTTTTCTGTTTTAAGCATTGCAGTTTGTAGATATAATATTAACATGTGCCTCAACACTTTACCTATTTTCACAGACTCCATGGAGTGCACCAGCTGTCCAGAGGATTTCTGGTCCAGCCCTCAACGTGACCACTGTGTTCCTAAGGAAACTGAGTTTCTCTCCTACCATGAGCCTCTTGGTATCTGCTTGACGACCACCTCATTGCTGGGCACATTTATATGTACGGTTGTCCTGGTAGTCTTCACCTATCACCGCAGTACACCTATGGTACGCGCCAACAATTCAGAACTGAGTTTCCTGCTTTTGGTGTCACTAAAATTATGTTTCCTGTGTTCTCTACTGTTTATTGGACGTCCCAGGCTGTGGACATGCCAACTGAGACATGCAGAATTTGGGATCAGCTTTGTGCTTTGTGTATCATGTATCCTGGTGAAAACCATGGTGGTTCTGGCTGTGTTCAAGGCCTCCAAGCCAGGAGGTGGAGCCTATCTCAAGTGGTTTGGTGCTGTGCAGCAAAGAGGAACAGTTTTAGCTCTGACCTGCATTCAGGCAGCAATCTGCACTGCTTGGCTTGTCTCTGCGTCACCAGTACCTCATAAAAATGCTCAATATCACAATGACAAGATTGTTTATGAGTGTCTGGTTGGCTCCACAGTTGGTTTTGGAGTGTTACTGGGCTATATTGGCTTACTGGCAATCCTCAGCTTCATGTTAGCCTTCTTGGCAAGAAATCTTCCAGATAACTTAAATGAGGCCAAACTCATCACTTTCAGCATGCTGATCTTCTGTGCAGTGTGGGTGGCCTTTGTCCCTGCTTATGTCAACTCTCCAGGCAAATATGCAGATGCAGTGGAGGTATTTGCCATCCTGGCCTCCAGTTTTGGTCTCTTGGTGGCACTGTTTGGACCCAAATGTTACATAATCCTGCTCAGACCAGAGAGAAATACAAAGAAAGCAATCATGGGTCGTGGAACCACTTAGTCATAGAAGTAGCAGTTACAATAAAATTATTAACTAGTCTGAACCACTATGTATTTTGTATGTGAAATAACCAGTATGCATCAAATTAGTAAGTTATTATTATGATTATTATTATGTATTTATTTGTAAAGAATACATATACATAAAACTGGAAGCAATAAATAATGTTTTTAAAAAACACATTCTTTGTTGTGCCCTTTCTTTTTTTTCTCTTTTTTATTTGCTTCATCCTGTTCCCTACCCATGAGGAAATGTAATATATGCATATATAGTGAATTTTCACGTACAAAATCTGTGTACATATGAAATAAAATCATGTGCAATATGAAATGTATCTACACTGAGAAGAGCCATCTCATGACAAAAGTGAGAGACATAGCTTTATATATTGTCATAGATTTAACATTTAAGTAACCGTAATTATTATGTATGGAATAATCACTTCACAATCTAAGAATATTCCAGAATATTAAATAATATATGAAGTTCAGTTGCCTTAAATGAAGGACTCAACTTGTGGCTTGCAACCAGAAGGGTTCTTATGCTTCAAAAACATAAGGAGGGTACTCATTTCATTTATCATTATTATTATTATGACACTATGTGCTGAATTTATTGCATTATTAAACATTTTTTATTTGTGTTTAATGTTATAATTTTCTCGTAATGTAAGAACTTATTAAATTATGCTGCACACATTCAGGAAAAATGTTTGGCTATACAAATAAAACAAACAAATTTGAGAAAATTTGACCAGAGGCACCAATGTGTAAGCAAGGAAGCACAACCTTATCAGGTTGCTCATAAATTCTAACATTATCACCTGAAAAGCAGCTAAAATATGCACAATCTTCCTATACCATGTATAGTGTTTGAATTTGAGATAAACTTCAAAATATCCATCCACACATTTTCATCTGCTTATTCAGGGCCGGGTCATGAGGGCAGCAGGCCAAGCAAAGCACCTCCCTCTCCCCTGCAACGCTTTCCAGCTCCTCCTGGGGGACAACAAGGCGTTCCAAGGCCGGATGAGATATTTAATTCCTCCAGCATCTTCGAGGTCTGCCCCAAGGCCTCCTACCAGTGAGATGTGCCCTAAACACTTCTAATGGGAGGTGCCCAGGAGGCATCCTGATCAGATGCCCAAACGTTTCAACGTGAAGGAGCAGCAGCTCTACTCCGAGTTCACTCCAGATTTCCAAGCTCCCTACCCTATCTCTAAGGCTGAGCCCAGTCACCCTTCTGAGGACACTCATTTCACCCACTTGTGTCCATAATCTCATTCTTTCGGTCACTACCCAGAGTTCATGACCAAAGGTGAGGGTTGGGACATAGATGTACCAATAAATCGAAACCTTTGCCTTTCAGCTTAGATCCCTCTTTACCACAATGGTCCAGCACAGTGCCCGCATCACTGCAGAAACCACACCAAACCACTGATCCAACTCATGCTCTATTCTACCCTCACTTGTGAGCAAGACCCTGAGACACTTGAACTCCCTCGCTTGAGACAGTAACTCTCTCCCAACCCACAGGGAGCAATCCACCGGTTTCTGGAAGAGAATCATGGACTCAGATTAACTCTCATCCCGACCACTTCACACTCTGCTGCAAACTGCCCCAGTGCATGCTGGAGGTCTCCGTGTGATGAAGCCAAAGGAATCACATCATCTGCAAGAGATGCAATTCTGAGGTCCCCAACGTCCCCAAGTCAAACGTGTTTGACTTGACACTGAGTCTGCAGATGCAGCTTTCACTTTAGTCCAACAGGGACTGGATGGCTCGTAGCAGCGACTGCCGTACCCCATAAACCTGTAGTATCCCCCACAAGACCCCCCCCTCCCCCAAGGGATGTGGTTGTAAGCCTTCTCCAAGTCCACTATACACATGTAGACTGGATGGGCAAACTCTCACAACCCCTCCAGCAGTCTTGCAAGGGTAAAGACCTGGTCCACTGTTCCACAGCCAGGACAGAATCCAGATTGCTACTCCAGAATCAGAGGTTCGACAATCGGATGGAGCCTCCTTTCCAACACCCTGGAGTAAACTTTTCCTGGGAAACTGAGCAGAGTGATACCCCAATAATTGGAGCACACCCTCTGTTCCCCTTTTGTTTTCTTTTTTTAAATGGGGACCACCACCTTGGTCTGCCACTCCACAGGCACTGTTCCCAACCTCCATGTGACACTGAAAATGCGTGTCAGCCAAGACTGCCCAACAATGTCCAGAGCCTTCAGCATTTCAGGGAAAATGCAAAATATCATCTACATACAATGTGATTTGTTCCTATATTGATTTCCTGACCATCATGGTGTTTTCTAGCTTCTGCAAGAGGCTCACTATTGGTGGAGAATTCAAAAGCCTGAAGCAATTCATGAAACCCCCTTAATTCAGGTGTCCTCTATAGACAGCTAAGAAGATTTTTACATCTAAACATTAATAAATTAAGTAATTTCATTATTTTATTTTTTTTTTAATTTGAGTTTATGACAATGCCATAGAGCTACAAGCTACCATCACAACAAGAATTACTAAAAAGTCAAAAGACCATCATTCCTGCCATTAACATGGTTAAGTATATGGTGATCCTTAACCTTATGCATTACAAAAAAACACTGTTAACCTACCACACAAGTGTGGTAACTTGTATTGACAAAATTAAACTATGGGATGTGTAATACAGAGAGAATTAAAAACAAAAATGAAAAAATTGAGAAATCTTTCTCACCTGAGATAAAGGGTCTAAAACAATAGACTCAAGATCAGTGCTAGTCCATTACAATTGCCAAAAATTCCAGAATGTATTTACATGATAAACAACATGGGCTTTAATTACCAAAGAAAACAAAACCAAAAAAAAAACAAGATAAAAATTGATTGATAATCATGATGTTATTAATATATAACACCCACAAATCACATATGCTGAAACATTATTCCAATGGCACAGGATTTACATTCTGACTAAGATGTCATATTAACATAATTAAGCTGACATGTGCGTTATGCCCTGCCCCCACAGACCTGATGGGCGTTCTTAAAGATTAAACAGTGATTTAAAACATGCAATTGGGATTACATAGCACTTCATATAAAACTGAGTAACCCTGAAAAATAGAAATGTGTGAAAGGAGGAGGGCCATTATGGGGGCTTTACTTAACATATATTTGATCTTGTATATCTATCATATCATGTTTTTTTCCTCTTCCTCCTCTTTATGCTCTCTGTCTTCTTCTCTTCCCTCATCTTGTAAATTACGGAGAAGGTTTCATCTTAATGCAATTCACAAGCCTGGTGATGTGATTCTGGGTGGGCTGTTTGAGGTCCACTACACCTCTGTCTTCCCTGAGCGAACATTCACCTCAGAGCCACAAGAGCCCAGCTGCCAAGGGTAAGTAAGTAAGTAAGTAATATTCACAGGTGAATATAAAGACTTTATTACTTTGTAGTGGTAAATAATGATGTTATGTTGTTAGCTTTGATCCTCCAGGGTTCAGGCATGCCATGACCATGGCCTTTGCTATTGATGAGATCAACAAAAACTCCAACCTGCTACCAAATGTGACTCTGGGATACAGTCTTTATGATAACTGTGCTACACTTGCTATTGGGTTCTGTGCTGCGTTGTCACTGGCCAGCGGTCAAGAGGACCAGTTTCTGCTTCAGGAGAACTGTTTAGGGACCCCTCCAGTTCTGGGGATTGTGGGCGATCCCTTTTCAACATTTACTATTGCTATCTCCAATGTTCTAGGTTTATTCAAACTGCCAATTGTAAGTTTCCTGTCTCTAATTTCTTATGTGCTTTTGACATATGTAAATGAATTAAACATTGTTCCAATACGTAAAATATATTTTGAATGTCTATATGAGCTTGCAGGAGATGCACAACCTGTTTGCGTTATGTGTGTTTGGTTATAGGTGAGTTATTTTGCCACATGTTCCTGCCTGAGTGACCGGAGAAGGTTTCCATCCTTCTTCAGAATGATCCCAAGTGATGCTTTCCAGGTAAAACACTATAAGCAAAATAAGAACTGCACATATGTCTCATGTAATGACTAGAAAACTTGAAATTAATGTTGCCAATAAACAAATAGTGTGCTCACAAAATATAATTCCTCTGTGCACCATTGATGAAACTGTTTGTATTTAGGTGAAAAGCTTAAAAGAATGAATTAAAAATGATTCCATTATGAGACATGCAGAGGCAAAAGGAATATTCTACCTATGCACTAATCCATCCACTCTCTATTCACTCAGGTGCGTGCCATGATTCAGATTCTAAAACACTTTGGCTGGACTTGGGCAGGTCTGCTGGTCAGTGATGATGATTATGGACTCCATGCTGCCCAATCCTTACAATCAGACTTGGCTCAGTCTGGTGGAGGTTGTCTGGCCTACTCAGAGATTTTACCCTGGGGTGACAACCCCGCTGAAGTCAAGAGGATTGTGGAAGTGATGAAGAAATCCACAGCTCGTGTGGTCATTGTGTTTGCACATCAAATACACATGATTCAACTAATGGAAGAGGTTAGGGGATGAACATTGATATGTATGAATCCAAAGCATGAGCATAAAATCTTTTCATTTTCCTGGTAATGTAATTTCATCTGTTCACACCAGATTCTGTGAATTATCATCTGTTCATTTTGAATTGACCCAGTTTCTATTAGAAAACAGTACTTACATGACTTGTTTGGAATTGGGATTTAAAAACTTAAGAGTGGTCAAAATATTGGTATGGTATTCTTGCCCATTATTAAATCTTGCAACATCTATACACATATTTATGTTCCCCTATAAACTTGAGTTCTATATTCATGATCTTATATGCTATTTATGCTTTACTTCCTTTTCTCAGCAGTTTTTGCACATAAATCAAAAAAGCAAAAGTGGTTTACTTCAATCTCCTTGGCTGGAACAATGTAATAACATCTAAGCTTTTATAACAAATGAAACAACTTTACCAGAGAATTATAGTGTAGTTTTGTTTTAATTTATT